GCCTACACTAGCTTGATGTGGTTGACCCAAATGGTAACAAGTGAGGATACAAATGATTCTGTAAACTCAGGTTAATATTGCTAAAAATGTTTAATGCTTAATCTACTAGAAACCTCAAGCCAAAATGTTGCCGTGTGAAACTCAAAATTTGTGTTGGATCCATAAGTTATTTTTGTTGCCTGTGCATGGTTTCTTGTGTGTATGTTATGATTTTCTTATCATTGACCAATAATTTGATTCCTTCTTCCTTGTCTTTTGCTCCGCAATTTTTGCTTCCTCTTAATTGTATAAGGTTCAGCCTATTGCTTAGTAACTTACACATGGACTTTCAACCGACTGACTTACTTGTCACACTTAATCAATGCCTTACAATAAAAACATTGATTTGGCAATATAGACAGTTAATATTTACTAACACTGGGATGCAGAAATCAGAACACAAATTAACTTCTGTTAGTGCGGTACACATTCTTCAATAATGTTATATTTCCTACGTTTAGCTCTATCATATATTTCTAAAGCAATGTCATTAACCAAAGTATATATACTATATAACAGAAAGCATAAGAATGAACGATTCATCATGTTGCAAATGATAATGATTTCTTGACATGAATATGAATAATTTCATCATTTATTCAGTTTATAGTCATACCCCGTCAATTTAAAGGCACGATTGTACAAACATAATAACAACCTGTATGGTATTTATGCAACTATCATATATAAGCATCACTGTAACGTCAGAAACAATCATCTAGCTTCCATTACAGAAATTGACACTTGATTTATGGAACAGTTCTCCGACTTGATCTCAGGACCACCAGCTTCTTCCTGAACTACGGTGGTGATGAAAAATGCTGGTTGTTTTGGTTGTGGCAGTGGCATTGTCTCATTTGAAAGCATTGAAACAACATCAGACATTGTAGGTCTATCAATGGCACGGTCTTGTACACACAGAAGGCCAATATGGATGCATCTTAATATTTGACTACGAGGGCAAAATCCATCTAAAGAGGGATCCATTACCTCCAAAGCTCTATCTTCATTCCAAAGCTGCCATGTCTGATGAAAACCAAGATTGTATTGCTCATACAAATCTTAAGGTGTGATAATATATTCAATCAAAATGAAAAGCAGAGAGAAGAAGCATGAAGAGAAAAAAAGAAACTCACATATCCTAAAAGGTTAAGCGGATGCTCAGAATGATAACGACCAGTATTCTTCATGCCACTTACAAGCTCTAGAAGCAAAACTCCAAAGCTAAAAACATCAGTTTTGCTAGAAATAAGGCCATGGAAGGCATATTCTGGAGACATATAACCACTGCAAAAATTATCAAAACACATTTTGTCAACATTTCTTAGAGCAAACATAGAAATTTTACAAAAACGAAACTACTTACTATGTTCCAACAACTCTATTTGTGTTTGCTTCAGATTCATTTAGTCCAAATATTCTAGCCATCCCAAAATCGGATATTTTTGGATTCATCTCACTGTCAAGCAAAATGTTACTGGCCTTTAAGTCTCTATGAATCACTCTCAACCTAGAATACTTGTGGAGATAAAGAAGCCCTTGAGCAATCCCTTCAATGATGTTAAGGCGTATCTTCCAATTCAACACTTTCTTCCTTGCAGAATCTGATTGTCAAATTTTAGCTTAATGAGCATGAAGTTCATCAGCTAGTGACAGATGAAACGCCACAAAATGGTCAAGTAAGAGACAGTTTACCGAATAGAAAGGAGTCCAAGCTTTTGTTTGGCATATATTCATAGATTAATATCTTTTCTTCTCCTTGAATGCAAAATCCTAGAAGCCTCACAAGATTGGT